AAAAAAAAAAATAGTTAATGAAAGAAAAGGAGGTCTGGAATTGAAATCTTCCTGTCTGTGATGTGGCCAGACCTGCTTCCAAGGGCCCTGGGAGATAACAACCCCAAAGGCCCTTGCGAGTCAGCTGAACATTTCTTAGCAGGTCAATCTAGGGCAAGACACAAGTTAGGGACAGACGGTGGCGGGGCCCAGCTTGCTTCCTGTGCTATTCAGTTTCTCCACACATGGGCATCAAAACAGTGATCTTGAGGCTCTAATGAGGACAGACTGACCCAAGAATCAGGGACAGGTGGTCATTTTGCTACTCACTCTGAAACCCCACATGGGGTATTTTAATAGTGTTTTCCATCTGTTCCATCTCAGGGGTTAATCCCTTTCTAATCTGAGCTGTTATAATTGGGTAATCAGACAAGACACTCCGAAAAGCCCAGCCCATAGTTTTGCTGTTCTTTTTGGCTAGACTTTTATTAGAGCAAAATATAGCTGACCTAGAAATTTCCTGTTTGAGCTTCAGTCTTCTGCTAAACAAAAGCAGACACTTCTAAGAAGTATGCATGTTTAGAAAGCACAGCCTCCTTCTTGGGGGTAATTTCAGTCACTGCTCGCTGCACACACAGGAATGAGAGCAGCTAGGAACAGATCACATGATCCCGCTCTTTGCTACAAACTGGAAAAAAAAGAAAGGAAAAAAAAAGCCCCATCGTTAGCCTGGGCTAATGAGCTCACTGGTGTGAGTCCAGGAAACATTCCAGAATGAATACTTCTGCTGGGATTTCTGTCTTTTGAAAAAAGTTACCTTGCTGTGGTGTACAGCAAATGAAATATAAATGAAAGCCACATGAAGCCAGATCAGGGACTTAACCTAAAGCCCATGAAGAAAACCCAGTAGGGGGTTAGGACAGAAGTAAGGCTGACTACTTGGGGATTAACTTCTCATGGAGGAAAACATAGTTTTTTGTCTTTGTTTTTTCCAAAGGAGGAAAAACTACTACCCAAGCCGCCAAGGGTTGATCACACTGGCCTAGCATCTGGGATGAACAAAGCTGCTGTCAGCTAATGAGCTAGAGAGTTTCACATTGCACCAAGTCCCATGGTGACAAGTCTCCTGGTCACCATCAGGGGTGGACTTCATGGTTTGTTCATGGCAGCACCCAGCACACAGTAGACACTCAATACATGCTCACTAAATTGAACGAACAACATGGAGGCCCTCTCTAAGATAACCTGGAGGTGGCAAAAACCACAGTTGGGTATTTTAGTCTATTTCAAACATTTACTATATGTATTTGCTTTAATCAAAAATATTCTCCCTTAAAGAGAAGGCTATGCAAACAGCTGGGAGTGGGTGACAGAGATTGGTACATGGAGGTCTGGAATCCAGCACACCTTCTTGTGGGAG